AGTAATTAGTATTGCAATATCTTACTCTGAAAATTTCTGCGATAAATCCAGCCTCTAATTGAGTTTCTGAAACTCACACAGGTTTCTCGTAAAATGGCTTTTTTGTGGGCTGGTTGTTCGGTTGCGCGTATTTCAACATTGCAATGAACGTGCGCTTTCAACGTAGCGATCAATTCTATGAGAGGCGGAACGGTATTTTCCTGCGTCGATCTACTGTGTTATCATCAAAGACGCCGTTTCCCTCTGATAAAAGTGGAAATAAAGCATCAACTTTGTTTAAAATTTAAAATACAAAACATTGATTGATTGATATGCGGGGTTTAACGTCCAAAACCACCATATGTATATGAGAGACGTCGTAGTGGAGGACACCGGAAATTTCGACTACCTGGGTTCTTTAACGTGCACCCAAATCTGAGCCCACGGGCCTACAACATTTTCGCCTCCATCAGAAATGCAGCCGCCGCAGCCGGGATTCAATCCCACGACCTGCGGGTGAGCAGCCGAGTACCTTATCTACTAAACAACTACGGCGGGGCTAAAATACGAAACATAGCTATCGCGTAAAACTACTACACTTAAAAAAAAAGGCAGTGCTACTTACTAACTTTGAGGTAGTAAATTGTGTTCACAACATTCACTACCTAAGTAGAAACTGCAGGTAGTATACCACAGACGTTTACTACCTTAGAAGCAACCAGAGGTAGTAAATGTCTGTGGTCTACTACCTACAGTTACTACTTATGTAGTCAATGTTGTGACAACAATTTACTACTTCAACGTTAGTATGTAGCACTGCCTTTTTTTAAAAGTGTACACTTGAGGCCAAATATACGCTAAAAAAGTAATAAAAGTGTATGGGCTGCTCTAAATGAATATCCCTTCCTCTTACTATCTCAGTCATTGTTATACTCGCTGAACATCATATATGCTGCGCGTTTGATTTTTTTTTTTTTCGTAAGCCTTATTCACAGGGAAAGTAGAGAAGGAAGTGCACCATCATGCCTCAAATGGTCTGGCGAATTCTTTAATGAAACTTCTACGCTGAAGTGCTGTTGAAGAAAGGCCGCTTCAATATCTTAAAAAAAGTATAACGCTGAAGTCTTTAATCTTCAGAGCAACGTAATGTGCTGGTTTGGTACAAATTTTCTAAGCAAATGACGCGTTTAGGCCTTATCGAAACAGTTCTCCAATTATTGAACCTGGACATTTTAAAGGTGAATAATGACGAAGGCGCAAGCTGCAGGTACAGTAAAATCTAATGAAAAGGTAATTAACAGTACCCAACTACAAGCATTTCATAATAATATGCTTGTCAATTTCACCATAAGGGTGTGAGATAAGAATAAACTCAGGAGAATAATATTTCCTAAAGAGCAACGCTATTCTAGTCAACACAGTCCGATGTTTGCGAAAGAGCTTACATATTCTCTCGGTGGCCATAGAGGAAAGGCATTAACCTGACATAAGCTGAGCTGACTTGTATAGTTAAAAACACTTGCGCGATAGTTTGTGCCCCATGCGTGGCTATGCCTTGCAGGAGGATAAAACATTGGAGACCCATAAGCTCCGCCTATAGGACTTTGATGCGGTAGCGATATCCTGTCCCTAGTGCGTGCTTCAACCACTTATGATATATTTTTTTGATGAGGTTACTGGAGAAGTTTAAATTCTGTATTTCTACAATGTTGTCTATGTAGTGGAAAGTGGTTTGTGTCAGTGAATTTATTGCATGTGGCTACATTCTCAGCAATGGGGGAGCATGCTTTGAACCACGTAAATTGTGCACGTGAAATGTTTCGAAGTTGGTATGCACCCATTACACGGTTTAAAAAAAAAAATGCGTGCGGTGTCGTGTTTGCCTTTTGTAATGGGTGGCCGTCTTTTACACGAGGAAGTCGCTATGATAAACACATGTTTTGAAGACGATGGTTTTGCATGAACGCCTCTGACTTGCGGTGGAGTTCTACACGCTCCATAGGAATTACTGGCTCTCTCTCCTTCTCTTGAAATTTTCCCTCTCTTACCTCCTTTCTTTTTCTCATCTTTATTGTGCTCTTCCCTAATCTCCGAGTGCAGAGTAGCCAACTGGATATCTTTTTGTAAACCTCCCTGCCTTGTCTCTTTCTGTTTGCTTCTATCCTTCTTGACGCCAGATGGCAATGTACGCTTGTACCACGCAATATTGTTCCATATTTCACGCGCATTGGAGGCCGCGGTGTCCCAAGGGATCCCCGCTGACCTCCTCTAAGCAGCGTAACCGACCTCTCGGCCGGTCCCCTCTTTTGGGAGTAATAAAGTTTTGATCATCATCGATATTGCACATTGCATTGTGAAACATGCATACAGGACGCGTGTGATTGTAAGGCATAGAAGTTATTTTCACTGCATTTCCAAAACGTCGCGTGACTATGTGACGGAACAGCTGCTTGTCACGCGAACGGTCTGAGTTCAATCCTAACTAGGACAAAGATATTTTTATTATATATTTTATTGTCATCTCTGTCGATTGTCGGCCATGCACAAGATGCCTTTTTGCTCAAAACCAATGCCTCGCCGCGGTGGTCTAGTGTCTAGAAACTCGGCTGCTGAGCCACAGGTCGCGGGTTCAAATCCCTGCTGCGGCGGCTGCATTTCCGATGGAGGCGGAAATGTTGTAGGCCCGTGTGCTCAGATTTGGTGGCACGTTAAAGATCCCCAGGTGGTCTAAATTTCCGGAGCCCTCCACTACGGCGTCTCTCATAATCATATGGTGGTTTTGAGTTGTTAAACCCCACGTATCAATCAATCAAAGCCAACGACGCGAACGGTGACACCGACACCGGAATGACTGCGAAACAAACTCCTTAAAGCTATCGCGCTAACAACCTATGGTTTTAGTGCTCTGGAACAACAATACTACTTGACGCGCCATAGTGAGGGGCTTCGGGTTAGTTCGGCCACATGGGGTTCCTTAATATTGCCACCATTGATGAACGAGCCACTGTGGCTCATACGCGTTTTTGGGCATGAAGAGGAAGAGAACATCTTCGTTGCTCTGGTTCAAGTGAACTCCTGGCTGCAGATCTTGTTTTGTTCGTGACATTACTGGTGGAGGTGCTGGGTACGTGTACTTCGGCTGTGTCGGCCATCGTGGAGACAGCTACATCTCCCAGAGCAAGAATCAGCCGCCGCCTGCGTGGATTATTCCCTGAATTTGGTCCCTTGGCATCGACACCCAGAAAGATGGCAACTGCGATGACAAGCCAGGCGGTCCAAACCAGCGATGGCCATGATTCTCTTCTCGCCCATGTTTTTCACGTGCCACAGACACCAAAGCCGTTCCATGGAGACATACATCTTCGAGGATGTTGATGACTGGCTAGACCACTTTGATCGGGTTGCCAGTATCAACGAATGGGACGATGTTCGCAAGCTGCGCCGAGTTTATTTCTACTTGGAGGATTCTGCGAAGACGTGGTACGAGAACCACGAGGGCTCCTTTGCAACATGGCAAGAGTTTAGCTGACAGCTCCGTGACGCTTATCGCAACACCGAAAGGAAGGAGAGGGCCGAACAAGCCATATCCAGCAGAAACCAACGGCCGAACGAACGTGTATCCATGTTTGTCGAGGACATGTTTCGACTCTTCAAGCGCGCGGACCCTGCCATGCCTGAGGAAAAGAAGGTGCGCCATTTGATGCGCGGAGTAAAAGAACAGCTTTTCGCTGGGCTCGTGCGCAATCCACCGACGACAGTCGCCCAGTTCATCAGTGAGGCAGCTACGATGGAACGTACGCTGCAGCAGCGGTCGTCACAATACGAACGCCAGATCCCTGCCACCACATGCTCTATCGGCTCTGACAGCGAGAGACAGACCCTCGCAGACTTCATTCGAAGTATCGTTCGGGACGAATTGCGACAGCTGCAGGCAGTGGGATCCCATCCACCTGTGTCAGCCCTCGCGGATGTAATCAGACAAGAAGTCCGGCAGGCCGTCACACCCCTAGCCCCAATCGCACCGCCGATTCCCGAGGCCCCAGTCCTGACAAACGCAGCGGCATTGCGATCCCCTGCGCCACCGGCTACAGATACTGCTATGCGGCCAAGGTACCAGGCTATGCAGCCATTTCACGACACTGCTTCAAGCCCACCTCTCGGCTCAAGGTTTTCGAGCCCACCCACCTATCCGCCGTCTATCTCAAGACAATGTGGTAGCAAGGCAAGCACGTGGCGCACCTCGGATAACCGTCCGCTCTGCTATCACTGTGGCGAAGCGGGTCACGTATACCGGAACTGTCAGTACATAGATATGTGCATATGCTGCTAATGTGCGGCTGCCAATGTGCGGCTGCTAATGCACTTTGCTGCATTCTAAATGTGGCCGCCTGTGCCGGCAATGGAGCCAGTGCCCTCGATCTTGCCTATGCCGTTCATTTGTTTAACCTTAAGGATCCTTAACATGGCGTTACATAATACAGTGAGAGTAAAAAGCACCGATATCGCATGTAATAAGTGAAGCGAGTGCTTAAAACAAAGAACCGACTACGCTACAAGTACATCGCGCACGAGAGAGAAGAGAGAAAATTTTTCTAAGGTAGAGCTTGAATTGAGAAAGAGAGATAGAGAAAAAAAGGAGGGGTCAGATGCGATGGTGCGGGCAAGGATACTTTACGGGGCCGGAGGCTCACCAACCTCCCCCCTCCTCCCCCTTTCAGCATTTCTCCCTTTCTTTCCGGCTGCGCCTTTGATCAGAGCACACGGCAAGCACAAACAAACAATACGAGAGGTGACTTGAAGTTGAAGTTTGTGGCGTGCTGAAACAAACAAGGGCAAACGAAAGATAAATGAAGCGCACGCACACATTTGTAATTCTTGCGCAGCTCTTACGACGTGGCAAGGCACTAAGAGGTATAACTCGTACGGGGAAGTTAACAAGAGGCATTTCTTTAGACTTTCTTTGGCCCAGATTTTCATGACGATTTCACGTTATTCCGCCTACTCGTTACCTATGTTCGCAGAGCCCCAGCTACTCGCGTGTTGGCTGGCTTCTGGTACTTCTTCACATTCATCGTGCTCGCCATTGTGGTGAGCAACTTGTGCGAGAGCATCCTCTGGCAGGACAGAGGACCCGACTACGACTCTGTCGATCAGCTCATGAAGACGCCCGGGTTCACGTACATCGCCATACGAGGTGGAAGCACTCGCGCTTACCTTGAGGTGAGACGAGAGTGAGTGAGTGAGTGAGTGAGTGAGTGAGTGAATGCGGCGTGCATGCGTGCATGTGCGTGTTCTTGCGAGACGGATACAAGGAACGCTACTCGAGCTTTCAATGCGAATCCTTGTAATGCAAGTGATGTAAGCGTTCAGAGTTTTTCACCTAAGCACGAAAAGAAAAGAAAACGGCAGTCAACACCGAATCGTGAACTAACAAAGAAGACAAACCAATGATCTTAATACTCTAGTCCCTAGTAGACTCACTTCACCTGTCCATCAGTAAGCTGAGGTCCCCATACAGGGTAGGAGGGGTGGTGGTGGTATTGCAGCGCTTTCCTCCTGATAGGTGACTTGGGGGGGGGGAAGCAGATGCCTCCCCTGCCCCCCCTCGTGCACACTCATAAGCCTTCAAGCCTTAAGTAAGCACCCTGACCCGAACATCTACAAGAAAAAGCGAGAAGCCTGAGATTTTGAGATCTTGTGCCCGGTATACTGTGAAACGAAGAAAAGTTGTTTAGACTCACTTGAATGTTTTTTCTTTTCTTTTTTTGCATGCTCATTTCTGACTATCTTTTATACCTTTAACCTTCTACTCTTGTGTGGTTGACCTTCCACCATCTACTTAGTCTTCTTTTTTTCCTCCCGCACTTTTTGAGCAAAATTACAGAAAAAAGATGTTTGAATAAAAAGTAGGTCGTACCAGCTCTCATATAAAGCTACGTTAGTGACAAAATATGCACTACGGCATAAACTAATCTCGGTAAGAAAATTGTACGTCTTTTATGAAGTTTACCTTATACTTAATCCGCAGTATCAGCGCTAACTAACGTTAACTGACATCGGTTACAGGTCGCTAACTTTGGTTATCAGCTGTACTGATGATGCAATAAATAAATGTGAATTGCTATGCGTCCCCGTTGTTCCATTGTAGGGCACACACTATACAGCGGTGAGAAAGAAAAAGAGTTGGTAAGCCGCAGTTTCGCACAATAGGTAGAGGTCAAGAAATCCCACTATTGAGAAATATTGTGAATATTTTAGTAATAGAGTTTAGGTAACAAAAATACTTTTTGCATTCTGCCGAGCACCGTGTGAGATATTTACTATGCATAAAAGATGTCTAAAAAGAAGAACCTCGAGTAGTTTGTTTTCGGCCGGAATCATTGTTCCATCGTGGGTGTGTGCCACAGATTCCAGGCTATTCTTTCCTTCCATTGTTTTTATGTCCACATAGGGAGTGTTGGACATTTCTCATGCAAGGGAAAGTTTCTGGAACGCGAATCCGGCATTCTTTGGATTGAAACACGTTTTCCTCAGGCTGCACAAACCCGTGCCTCACCAATATTGCATGGAAATGGCAATAATTCTAGCAGAAATCTGCACATAATTTTTCGATCTCTCTGTAATGCATTAGTTTCACGACTAATACACAGTGATCTGAGACAGTCACTCATGTTGATATTAATATACGAATTTCAGCAAAACATCTTAGTGGTCGAGCGCACAAACATGACAAAGACAAAGCTGCCATCCACAAGCTTGATCACTTAGAAAAAATTGGCTGAACCTAGAGGTTCAAGACGTCGAAATGCGTTAACTAGTTTGAAAACAAATGTGCAAGAAATATATTGTATTCTTTAGGAAATTCTAACAGATCGCACCCACTGTAATGATTTATTTGGATTGGATTTCTTGCTAACTAGTCGGCTTGTACTTGCATATGCAGTACGTCGATCCAAGGCTTACGAGGAGTATCGACGCCTTTATGGGAATTAAATATAATAAATTAAGAAAAAAATGAATTTATGGCTGTCATCTCGCTTTTGTGGCACGCAAGCTAACAAATGAAAAAGCTCCGAATATGCACGACTGTTGGAAGCCACGGAAAGTCTGTAAACTGAGGGTGCAGCCAGCGTGTGATTGAACGAAAGTAATAGTCGTAACCTTAGGAGGTAAAAAAAAAAACTGCAAAGAGAATCAAAGAACAAATAGGTGTAGCCTATATTTTAGTAAAATGCCGCGCTTTTTCAAGGGACATTAAAGTCAACCATTAAGTCAACGTTGATTGTTGGAATAGCGACGGTCCAGAAACCTCCTAGTGTTTCTTTTGTGCGAAGGAAGGGCCTATTTTGAAATAAAATCACGTTTTGGTGGTCTGCATCGGGTTAGCGCACTTCAAAAAACCCGCCTCAAAAAACGGACCACCCGGTTCGTTTCACGTCACTGTTGCCGTGCACAACGTTGCCCGGCTTTACTGCGCTAGTAACAGCAGACCGTAAGCAGCGGGAGCCACAGTAGCAAAAACGACCATTGATAAATTTCCTTCCATTGGCTCTGAGAGTGCAGACGCTTTTGTTTCAACTGTTTTCCATTAAATGGCACAACCTGCCCCATGTAACCACGTGAAAATTGAATTTTTGAACCACTCGCGCAATTCGCCATAGTAACGTCCTGCGGTTCTTTTTCCCATGAATCAAACAGAAGCGAACAAGCAGCATTTTCTTGTGTCTCTTGATGCACGGAAAATTCTTTATTTGGTGCAGTTAGATCGATTACTAGTGAATAATTGTAGCCTGATGTCATCGGGATGATTTTTAAAATGTCCTACTGCGGCGCTTGTGTTCTTGTGAATTTACCATAATTTCTTGGTAAGTAGGGCACTGTTGTTGATAATTATGTCGTTTTAGGTGTTGCCATACATTGAGCTTTCACTCTGACGTAAATTGTTATTTGACTTTTGTGCCCCTTTAACTACACGTGGTCATCTCCCCTTTTACGTCTCAAACGCAAAAAATGGAATCGTATCAATTGATCTCGCATGATATTCACTGGATACAATTCACAATGGGTGTCTGGCTGCATGGCAAAGCAGGATAAAAGACAATTCCGAATTGATATCCCTCGCATGTGAATTGATCAAGAGGCTATTTCTTCATGACTACACTGGAACAGATTACTGGCAGCACGACCTGTGCCACAATGACGAGAAGCGCCTGGAAATAATAACGCGCTCGTTTTTCGTAACATGAGAGAAGGTTGCGCGGTCCTTCGAAAGAAAAAAAGAAGAAATAGAAATGGCTAGGTGACTGTCATGAGAATAATAAATAACAGATGGTAAAGTTAGAGCTTATAGAAATGGCCACCAAGAGAAGTGAAACGCGTTCGAGGATCGCCAAGGGATAAGCGGAGTGACGAAGCGAGAAAATTCGAAAGCGCAAAAAGGAACTGGCAGGTGTACCTTAACAGGATGTGTTGCACATCACAACCTTTGTTCTGCATTGCACATGAGATGTGCGCTGCCGGACGCAATAAAACAGTGTCTCTTTTTTCGCATGTCCGTTGTTTTGCGCTCAGTGCAATTGCGAAGGACGTGTCAAGCTGGTGATGATTACGATGATTACACTTTCAGCACTCCAACGTGCCCCTGCATCAAAGGATGTCGCAGTTCGTCGAACGTAGCGGACGCAACAACCCGGGAACCTTCGCGGAGGGCCTCGACCGCGTCAAGAACGAAGACAAAGTGGCATTCATCATGGAGTACGCAACCGCCGCTCACGTCACGCAGAGTGACTGCGAGTTCAGCATGACCGACACCTTTGTTCACCACTCGGCCTACGGCATCGTTACCGCCAGAGGTGGGTAGGTGGCTATAGCGTTTCGGAATGAACCCTTTCAGGTGATAGCGCTCGGCCCTTTAAGTATGCAGAATGCACCAGCTAATTTTGGTCCGAGCTTAATTACACGCCGAAGCACTCTGGGAAGGCGTGAACAAATGCACGTTGATAGCCAGTGAATGCATTAAGCCGTACTATATGTGTACCGCTTAATTGTGTAATGAGACAATGTTAACGAACTTTCGTAGAGACCTGAATTCACACAGCAGACAAGGACGACAATAGACACATATTTCACACGCGCAACATCGCTGCTCTTACAATAACCTAAACTGACGGCATATATGCACAATAGTGTTTTTTTTTAAAGTTCATGAATGGCCAAACTGGCACATTGGGGAACTTTTTAAGCAACAAAACTTCAGAAATAGTCTGATTAGGCAGTTTAGAGCTTTCTATTTATTAAACATTAGTGTTTTTCATCCCATTGCATGTGCCAGGAATACCGAATGAAACACTTGCAAAAGAATTTCATACTTTGTTGTTTTCACTGTAAAGAGGTTTTATTGGGCGAACTAAACGGGCAGGTGGGAGATTGGAGATAGCGACAGGACGAGGAAGATGGAGGAACTTTAGCGCCGATCTCGTGGTGCCTTACTCTGCGATGATGCTTGCTGTTCCCTTTCGTTGTCATCAGTCCTTCATTATAATTGCCCCCGTCGAGAAACATCAAGCCATCCTGGTGATCTAACAAGTCGGAACGAGCGGGTCGAAGTACGGCTTCAAGTGGTCCACGTGAACAATATCGTGTCCATGCCGACGACGGTCACCGGGTGGCGCAAGCGGTTCAGTGGCGTAATTGACGGGTGACGTGCGCTCTACCACGCGGTATGGGCCATGGTAATTTGAAAGTAGCTTGGTAGACAAACCAGGTGCACAGGGTGGTACATACAGCCCTACAAGGGTTCCAGGGGTGAACTTGGCGGCAGGAGGGTGGTCGTCATCGCGGGCCTTTCTCTGGCGTTGCTGGTCAGCCGTAGTAAACTGCTTCGCTAGTTGGCGGCATTCTTCGGCGTGACGGGCGGCTTCAGACACGGTCGTGCACTCAGATACATCTGGTGCGTAAGGCAGCAAAGTGTCAATTGTGTGCGATGGTTGACGTCCGTATAGAAGGTAGAATGGAGAAAAGTCGGTGGTGACTTGGGTAGCGGTGTTGTACGCGTAGGTCGCAAACGGAAGAACCAGGTCCCAGTTCGTTTGGTCAGATGCCACATGCGTCGCGAGCATGTCACCCAGGGTCCGATTAAACCGCTCAGTCAGGCCATTCGTCTGAGGGTGGTAAGCAGTACTCATCCGGTGTACAATATGGCACTGACGGAGAAGTGCTTGGATTACGTCGGATAGAAATACACGGCCCCGGTAACTGAGGAGCTCGCGAGGAGGGCCGTGACGCAACACAAACCGATGGAGGATGAAAGATGCGACGTCCTGAGCGGTCGCCGTAGGAAGAGCAGCGGTTTTGGCGTACCGTGTCAGGTGATCTACAGCAACGATAGTCCACCGGTTACCTGCTGTGGTCAATGGCAGTGGTCCATAAAGGTCGATTCCGACGCGATCGAATGGGCGGTCAAGGCACGCAAGCGGCTGCAGTGGAGCTGCTCCTGCATTCGGTGGCTGTTTTCGTCGCTGACACTCGTGGCAGTCGCGAATAAACTGTCGAACAAAAGTAAACATCCCACGCCAGTAGTACCGCTTCCTTAAACGCTCGTAGGTCTTGAAGACACCGGCGTGAGCGCATTGCGGGTCGGAGTGAAATGATGCACAGATTGTAGAGCGCAGCTTTCGGGGAATAACGAGCAGCCACTTCCTGCCGTCTGGTGAGTAATTGCGCTGGTACAAGACGCCACCTTGAATGGTGAAGTGCGAAGCCTGGCGTCGCATTGCTCGAGTGATGGGAAGTGTCGGTACGCCAGATAAGACGTCCAGAAGCGAAGTTATCCATGGATCGTCGTGCTGTGCAGAGGTCATTGTGTCGATGTCAAGAGCGAACAGCGCGTGTTTCATAGAAGATATAGAGGCAGCCTCAGTCGACAGTGGCGATCGCGAGAGCGCATCAGCATCGGCATGTTGGCGGCCGGAACGGTACACGACGTGGATGTCATACTCTTGAAGTCGCAGAGCCCAACGAGCAAGGTGACCTGATGGATCCTTCAGCGACGACAACCAACATAAGGCATGATGGTCTGTAACTACACCAAAGGTGCGGCCATATAAGTATGGGCGAAATTTCACAATTGCCCAAAGTATGGCTAAGCACTCTTTTTCGGTAACACTGTAGTTTACCTCCGCCTTGTTGAGCGTTCTGCTGGCGTAGGCGACGACATACTCAGGGGATCCAGGCTAGCGTTGAGCGAGAACTGCACCGAGACCGACACCACTGGCGTCTGTACGGATTTCAGTTGCAGCTGTGGGATCATAGTGGCGCAATATAGACGGTGATGTCAGGAAACGGCGTAGAGTGGTAAATGCGTGATGACATTCGGAAGACCATGATGAGATGTCGTCGGCACTGCTTAAAAGTTGGGTCAAAGGGGCAATTATGGAGGCAAAGTTGCGCACAAACCGACGAAAGTAGGAGCACAATCCTACGAAGCTGCGTAACTGTTTTACAGTCGTTGGTTTAGGAAATTCAGCAACAGCGCGTAGTTTAGCCGGGTCGGGAAGAACACCATCCTTTGATACGACGTGACCGAGAATGGTGAGCGTCCGAGCAGCGAAGTGGCATTTCTTGAGATTCAGTTGGAGCTGCGCATTCTTCAGACACGTGAGGACATGTTTCAGGCGTACAAGGTGTGTTGCGAAATCGGGTGCAAAGACGACGATATCGTCGAGGTAGCAGAGGCATATGTTCAATTTCAAACCCCGCAGAACCGAGTCCATCATGCGCTCGAATGTAGCCGGCGCATTGCTGAGGCCGAAGGGCATGACATTGAACTCATATAGCCCGTCCGGTGTCACGAATGCTGTTTTTGGACGATCACCATCTGCTAAGGGCACCTGCCAATACCCCGAACGCAAATCTAACGACGAAAAAAACTCGGCACCTTGTAAGCAATCAAGGGCGTCATCAATCCTGGGCAAAGGGTATACGTCTTTGCGAGTGATCTTATTTAAGCGCCTGTAATCAACGCAGAAGTGAATTGTACCATCCTTCTTCTTAACAAGAACGACAGGTGATGCCCATGGACTTTGGGAAGGTCGGATAACGTCGCGCTTGAGCATATCGTCAACGTGTTCGGTGATAACCTCACGTTCCGTGGCGGAAACACGGTATGGTCGCTGTACTGTTCTGGCGCGTTGGAACCTGTGTCGATGCAGTGGAAAAAACTGGAAGTTCGGCCAAGGGTAGGTTGAGCAACGTCAAAGGATTCACGAAACTGGTAGAGCAGCTGAAGGAGCTCACAGCGTTCAGATGGCGATAGTCCGTCGGCAATCGATGAATCGAAAAGCTCGCAAGGTGGTATATTGGAAGGGTCAAGGGCACTGATGGCGTCGTGGTCACCGGAACAATCTGGCGGCATGGTAAATATTTGTTCTTTATCAATGGCATGCACGTGTTCAAGAGATTCACCTTGAAAGAGTTCGACGGGATACGGAAGGGGATTGATGAGGCAAAGAGCACTGTTTCCTTCAGAAATAGAGAGGGTTGAATAAGGCAGAAGAAGTGATCTTCGACTAAGGAAGAAGCTTGATGGCTCAAAGAATGCAGCTTCGTTCCTAATGCCGTCACAGAACACGGGGAGCAACACAGCTGCTGTCGAAGGAATTTCAATGCCTTCTTTGACGACGAGTTTGTGTACGGCGGGCTGAATGCGGCTGGTTGGTTGGTCGTAAAACGGGAAAAGTTCAAGCTCCGATCTTACACAATCAATAACGGCATGGTTACGCGATAAAAAATCCCATCCAAGTATGATGTCGTGTGAGCATGACGAAAGGACAATAAACTCAACAGTGTAGTGGTCCTTCGCGATTATCATTCGGACAGTACAGGCGGCTACAGGCTGAACCGGGTGCCCATTCGCTGTTTGCAAGGACATCATATTAAGAGGCGTCGTCACTTTTCGGAGCTTGCGGCAAAGTTTAGCGTCTATCACGGAAACGGCAGCACCAGTATCCACTAGAGCATATGCTCGAGTATCTTCTACAAAAACTTCAACAATATTCGACGGCAATGTCTGAGGACTTGAGCATTTCGACAGCGCAGTTCTTGCCTCCTGAACTGCGGCGGTTAGTTTACCTCGTGTTCATGAGCTGGCCGACGACGCAAGGGTGACAGGGAGCGACGACGGGGTGAAGGTGAGCGACCAGACATAGTACGCGGACATTCCCGTGAAGACGAGCTTGACTGAGGGTCAGAATTTTCCAGACGGGATGGAGAAAGGTCCATGAAGCTGTTCTGTGTCCGGGCGTCTGTGTATCCCGGCACGCGACGACGGCAGTAACGGGCGATATGGCCAGGGCCGCCGCACGCAAAACAGATGGGCTGGTTATCGCGCGTTCTCCAAGTATTGGCGACGAGGGGACCAGTCCATGCGGCAGACGGGTGAGTCGAGGCTGTGGTGGCAATGGGAGGAACCCAGGCGGTGGACGGCTGAATAGGGGCTGAGGTATACGGCAGTCCCTGGAACGGCGGGGGGTGGTGTCGCTGCTGCCGCTTTAGTGCCTCAGCGTAAGTAAGAGGCGCGGTGACGGGGGGCTGCTGCAAGGGCACCGGCATAGCCTCGGAAATCTGCTCCTGGACCACATGTCGGAGCATGGGAGCCAATAGTGGTGGGTGTCGCAGTGGCTGTTGGTGCGAGAGCTCCTGGCGTTGAGCAAAAGGCAGCAGAGAAAGCTGCCGAGCCACTTCCTCTCGCACGAAGTCTTTCATTTGTGCGAGAAGGTTTGTCTGGTCAGTCATAGCGTCCAGTGCGGTCACTGGTTGGATTGTCTGGAATGAGCGTCGCGTCTGAGCTCGTTGC